CTTGACAAGTTTACCTTCTCGTGTGTACAGTCAACAAGGTTTCTTGACAAGTCTACCTTCTCGTGTGTACAGTCAACAAGGTTTCTTGACAAGTTTACTTTCTCGTGTGTACAGTCAACAAGGTTTCCTTGACAAGTTTACCTTCTCGTGTGTACAGTCAACAAGGTTTCTTGACAAGTTTACCTTCTCGTGTGTACAGTCAACAAGGTTTCTTGACAAGTTTACCTTCTCGTGTGTACGGTCAACAAATTTTCCTTAACAAACTTTGTTGCTCAATAAGGAAAACGCAATACGTAGAGCATTAACATACTTTTCTAAATTTGCCAGTCGTTCTTTGAGGGATAAACTCGCGATACTTTTACCATTCACCAACAAAACATCGAAAACAACAAAACATGGATGAAGGCCTGTGTAGAATAACGAAAGCGTCGATAAACGAATAGAACTATTGGTTTAATGTAGAATTTAGTTATTCGTGCGTATCATACCGGAATCTCCAGAGTATGTTTTTTCACTTTTAAAATCGATGTTAGCTCCTTTTGATCTACGGAAGTTAAGTTACAATGTTAGGTTACTATAGGTAAAGTGAATTCCTCCTGTAGTAACACTGGATCAATGAGGAACGACATTTATTGGAGTACTGGACCATTTATAGGAAGAACAGTTTAGAACTGATGGAGCTCTCCAATATTTAACTTAGTTCTGTTTAGCTTTAAATCATGCACTTGTTTCAAGTTTGTTTCATGTTGAATATACAGTATTAGTAGTTAAAGTTCCATACACAAATTTTATTTCATTGGAAGCATTGAAAGCCATCATTTCACCATCAAGAATACACGACTTCACCTTACTGGGAAAATAGAAAAGTTCAATGTGAGTAGATAGGAAATCAGTGATTAATACGTTACATCCAATCACAACACCGCAGCAAAAAACCTACCTGGAAAAACAGTTTGCAATAAATGGTGTGAGAAATCCTTCATTGGGTGAACTACCAAACGTCGTCGTATATTCATTCGAACTAAAATAATTTTAATAATCATACTTTATTATTGAATTTACATGTTTTTACAAACAGTTATTTTAACAAACAGTTATTTCAACATTCATATATCAATAATAAGTTAACATATTTTTTATATGTAGGTAAATTTCTTTTTAAATTGGGGACAGAATCTACCAACCCTCTTGAGAAGTATTTAAACATATTGTCTTGTTTGTGAAGCATAAATCTCTCTCCATCCAGTTTTGTCTCGATAATAAATTCTTGTTCGTTCATCAACTTTTCAACCTGAAAATATCGCGAGTTTTATAAGTATCGTACTAACGCTGAACTGATATGTGATCTAATATACGAGATTCGAAGATGATAGGTGGTAGATATTGCAGAGGAGGTGAGGGAAGCAAGGTTGAGATGGTATGGACACGTAAGAAGAGATTAAGAGAGCTGGGAGATCAGAAGATGTGGGGTGGTAGATATTGCAGAGAAAGTGAGGGAAGCAACGTTGAGAAGGTCTGAACATGTAATAAGAAGAGATGAAGGAGAACCAGTCAGAGACATTATGGAATGAAGAGATCAGAAGAAAATGTGGAGTGGTAGACTTTGCAGAGAAGGTGAGGGAAGCAAGGTTGAGATGGTATGAACATGTAATAAGAAGAGATGAAGGAGAACCAGTCAGAGACATGGAATAAAAAGATGAGGAAGAAGATGTTAATACCGTACTTCATCAATGGCTGCTCGTTGACCCAACATTGGTTTAAATGCTGAGAACAATGTGATCTCTGAGTCGTTCTTTCTCACTGTGGGATCTTTAAGATCTTGACAAACCTTAAACACAAAACATTTTATCTTTGTAATCCTTATACGATGCGTTTCTAATGGATAGGACATACGTAAGGTCAGGGGCATAGGAAGAATGTGAAAATGGGTGGGGCACTACGTCCTAACGATGTGGAACTTTACATTAGAAAAGGACACTTTACTCATTTTTTATCGAGAATTGAGGGCGCTAAAGTGGAAAGCATGGGGAGTTGGCATCAGGGCATGTACATGTCCCTTATGCAATGTAATTCATACTTATTTATCCATATTAAGTCTCAGACAAGGCAATCTTGCTGCGTGTAATGCGTCAGAGGTCCGTAGCTATCTTTCATTTTTCGTTACCAAGTAATTCATTTCTTATACCTTTGAAAGAATGCTACAAACATTAAAAACGTCCATCGCATCAGGATGGTAGACATCAAAAATTGATTTGTCACTTATGCCAACTTTTAGTTCCTAAAAAGGATGACTTGCTTTTAAATATTATAGATTTGAAAGTAAAATTGGAATCAATCATAAAAAATATTGGTATTGCATGCGTTTTAAATATTTTATTACCTTCATAATCATTCGTATCAACCATTTCTAAATTAAAATGTACTTTTTTAATGAAGATTTTTTGACAATCAACCTGGCTCATACTTAGTGACAAAGAACCCAACAGTACCTGTTCTACAGCACTGGTGTTTCTCAGTAGAATTTGCAAAGCACTTCTTGTGTCGGCCTTTTTATGTTCCATGTTGCCCATGGCAACTTTGTCGAGAAGGTCATTCACTTGTTTTATTGTCAGACTACAGAACATAGAAAAATCTGAATACAACCAGTGTTGAATACAGGGCAATACATACTGTCAAGACAATCTAACATCCTTATTCTACAAACCTCCCTTTTTCAGGACATCGATTCTTTAAAACAAAATATGCCACCATTGCAAAGTCACCCGCATCCTGTATCAAATTTTTAAAGGCACTTGTTTTGGATTTATTATAAATCAATTCAATTTTATCAAAACACAGAGTGATAGTATATGTGCAAAATTATAGTACTCTAGTACTGTGTACAAATTTGTTATTCAGTTTTAAAATATTGGAGACACCTACCTTCAATGCATGAGTTGGTGCTTTATAATTGAGTAGCTTTTTTGCGTCCAAGCTGTCTTTGCCAATGCTGAGTATTTCAATGTAATGACGAGCTAAAGCTGCCTTCATGGGAAATATACATGTCAAATTATTATGAATTATTATTTAATACACCCTTGTGGAAACACCACGTAAATTTATTATTGCAAAGCTTTCGATCTGTAAGCCTGGATTTTCATCAGTGCTAATAATATGTGACTTGTTCAATTCACACGCCTTTAAATATGTTTCATAGAACCTACAGAGAACTTATTAATACACCCTTTTGATAATTATGTCACTAATCCTTCCTTGATTGGCCTTGGAGCCTCATTCTTGTGAATCGTGATTGAATAGCCTCTCTCTTGATTCAGCAGAGCAAGGCTCCCAGGCCAAGGAAGGGGGTAATTGAATTGTGTACTTTACTATTACGTAATTTATGATCACGTTGATTGAACTCTACCTCTTTCATTCCATACGCTGGTCGTTCTTTATCGAACTGAGGTAGAAGCAGTCGCATTGCAGGAAAGAATGAATCGTCCTACATTAAATTGCACAGATACGATCAAAATTGACAATACTGGACAAGTACAACTAGCCAGCCCGACGATTCAGTCCTGCTATGCAAATATTGCCATGTTTATGAACTATCAACACAACTTCTAAAGAAATGAATAATGATGAGTTGAAATTTGCATTGCGGGACCAAATCGTCGGGCTGGTTACGCCACTGAAAACTGACAAGCCTTGTGCCTCTTTTCCATACATCACAACTTGCAAGCTCGCTGCAAGTTCTTTCAACCAATCACCATGCTGCATTGAGCTTGCAAGTTGGTTTTTGCTATGGGTGGAAAAGAGCTGTTAGGCGTATAAACTTCATTTTCTGATTTCTGCGCAGCCGACATGGACCATGGAAACATTCCATTCCAAATAAAACATGCTTCAGAACAAGAAAGGATTATTCATGGACTATATCGTAAAAAACATATGAATGTAATCTGACTTGGGGCCCTCCCCTGTACAAGAAGGGGTTTCCCCCTAGAAGGTAAACAACATCAATATTTAAATTAAAGAAATCCCCCAGGCGTTTATACATAAGTTTAACTATATACCAACAAATAATCTTTCCAGAATTAAAGTACGATTTCTATCTGCTTATCGTAATGTACCGTAAATACTTTTGACAATATAAAATCGCGGTAGGCCGGTTACTAGCTAATATATGTTCAAGCTAGCTAGCACTCACTGTTTTGGCGTCTCCATGAATTTTGTTATGTGTTTCTCGCCATGAGCCAGTAAAAGACCTTAAAATACCCTTCTTTTTATCAGTGCCTTTATTACTGTGGATTTTCTCCAGCAAAGAGCATATATCGTGAAAAGGAACTTGCGAAGCGACTGTCTTCGCTCCTCTGTCAGTCGCCATGTTAGCGTACCGGGATTTTTTACCTACCCCGGGGTCTAATAGCCGAGGTTGATTACCCGGTTGTAGTGGGCATGGGCATGCTTAGACATGTCTGGAGAAAAATATTTTAAAAAATTATTTTGTTTTTGTGGGGAAACAATAATATTTATCGTCATAGGATTTTATAAATAGAGGCCACCAACCCTACACAAATATTTTACTCTTTAGTTTTAGTCTTTTCTTTGCCCAAATTCGTCCGTAACGATGTTTCTAATTGATCCATTGTCTTCGTTGCGCGTGCGCACGATGACGTCATAATCCAGGACAACGCGCGCGCGCTGTACATGTATTTACAAAATGAAGTCAACAAAATTTAGAAATCAAATTTTTCTCAGAAATTTTACACCGTTATGGGAAACGCGTGTTGTTTCTCTGGCTCAAGACGTAACAACCGTGTTCTGCCGACCCATTCAACTGCGTTAGTTCAACTGCGCATGCGTAATAAAGATCTAGCTTTATACAGGAGACATAAGAAGAAAGATGATGTTGAGCTCGGGTCGTCTGTAGTTCCTGGTATTTCAAAAGGTAAGTGAAGGTGTGATTGAATTAGTTCTGCTCGAAAGTATAGCTATATCTTCTGAGCAAAAACCGACACAACAAACCCACCATTTTTCAACCATGTTTTACACAGACACAAGAGAAGTTTCCAAAGGAGAGAACTCGAAGCAAGAAAGTTTGGAAAACATTGAGAAATGTAAACCAGACAAAGAAATGCAGGAGTGGATTGGTTCCATTATCATCCAAAACCACTTGGTGCCAAGTTACATGACGTTTGACAACCAACGACATTTATCAATGCGCTCCAAATATGCGGACATGACGCAAATGATTAACTTTTGCAACTCGATAAAGGAAACAAAAGAGGAACATCAAACTAACTCTCGCGCACCGTCTGGGAACATTAAGGGACTAATGAAAAAAGGAAAACAGGGTATAAAGAAGAACTTAAGTCACGAAACATTCAATTTTGGTCTCGGCCCGACGCCCAAGTTGTCAACGCGTATAAGCAAGGATGCGGTGAAAAGGAATAAGCAAAAGGATAATCAATTGAAGTTTTACGGCAGCCGGTCTCCACCACCTCCAAAGTTGAAACCTGTGGTGAACGGGTCAAACGCGTCTAAAGCTGGCGTTTTAAAGAATCCAGAGTCAAAAGGAACGCCTTGGAACAAGGTTGAAGGTTTGTCCCAATTTCCAACGGTCGGTTTTCCACCAGGCGAATTAGCCTTTCTCACGCCGCCATTTTTGGGTGGCATTTCAGCCGAAGTCTGTGAGATAAGTCCACATAATAGCGGCTTTTTATAGTTTGTTGGACGAATGATGGTAAATTTGCTTTGTAAATGGTTAGTTTATTTTGAAAAATCGCTTTTCACATTGTTTTAATTGTCTGCATTGGTTAACGAAAATTAGATGCCACCCAAAAATGACGGATATTCGTCATCGTGAGAAAGGCTAATTTGTCTGCGCGATGCGACTCTTTCCTTTGTCATGTGACTCATGTGGGCATCGCTTTTCACGTCAGCCTAGTGGACTGAACGGGCTTTATCCCAAATCAGTTTCTCGACGACTTAACGCTTGTCTTTGTCCTCAGATATATAATATCTCTGAGAGGATGGTTCTAAAATAGCTAGAATCGCAACACTGCGCGTCCTTCGACTCCTTCAAGACAATCGTTAAAGTCGTCACAAAAATATTTCGTGCACTTAAGTAAGACTCGCTAGAACCTCGTTCGAGACAACGAATTTTTCGTTGTACTCTGCAGAATAATATGGAACTATTCCTATTTTAGATGCAAGAGATACTCAAACAGCAGGCGGAAAGCATTTTCACGTTTCCTCAAACTGGTTGGACGAAGATTTTGAGGAGAGTATCCTAAGTTATCCTAAAGAGATTCAGAAGACCGCAGATAATATCCCGCAATGTTCAAAATTACCGCCCATACCTGTCAAAAAGGGTCATGGGAAAAAGTCAATCAAGTTCAAGATTGAGCCAGAGGTATCAGAGCCTGCAGTACATGACCTTGGCTTGTTTTTGTCAGCGGTCGAGGAAGACCTGTCTGATCTCAAACCAAGAGGTCGAATTTGGGATGTTTTGAAAAAGAAAAATCGCACCAGCTCCACTTATACTGCTGATGATCTTGATAGCTAGCGGGAATTTTAAAGCACTATGACGTCATTGGTTATTACGTCATAACTGAACTGTGTGGTATGAAATTAAAAATATTTCATACTTTTTCCAAAGAGAGATTTTTTCAGAAGAGTTCCCTTATTATAAACGCTATATAGATGCGATGAAAGATAGTTCAATATTGTCTCATGTGAAAAATATATAATTGTACTAATATGAATACATTCCAAAATATATTAAGAATTTGGTATATTGAAATAGAGATTAATATACCTTTTGTCATTGGTTTAGAATCTGTTAACAGTTCGATGCGAAGGCCAGTCACCTTTATTACAGACTTAATCAAAGTGACACTAGAGAGAGTGGACGCATAACAATAATTACAAATTGGAACGCATGTTCAGTTTGGAGAGACAGTTTGGAGAGTTTTGTCTATGTTTTACTTCGCAAAATTAAACTTCCCAACATATCAAACAATGTGATCAACATATCAAACAATATTCTAGCTCAGCTATGTGACTAGCGTTGTATATTGGGGTCTGGTGAACGCAAATTGAGTTGGAAACTTGAACACAAATTAAGAATCGATTTCGTCTTTCATATTCACTATGTAGATGAATAGGTGGTTAAATTAAAACGTCACAGTCAGTGTTTTCATTAAAATGACCCCATATTTCAGACAAAGCAAATATTTAGATGCCGCGGTATAAATGTTTCTTTACGAATAGGGACATTTCAGAATCCGAGGAACATTAAACAGACATGCTTTTATGAGTCACATGGTAAAATCTATCCAATCAAAAACTCGTTACGATCGCGCGATTTCTTATTTTAGATATTACTCGAAAACTTATACACAAAAACTGTTTAATCACAAGAGTAATTTAAAATGCTATATTGTTTGAACAAGTACGTGCTTTAGTTTCCCTTTATGATCTCCATTTTGCCGAGTCATTTCCTGTACGTATGTCAATATTAATTAACATCAATTTAATAACTGTTGACTGAAGAAATATTTCAGTAAGATTTTGTTGATTTGATTTAATTTGATGATATATTAAAGAATTTATAAAATCGCACCAAATGTTGAATTGCTTTATATTTACATGAGATGTTTATATATAGTAAAGTAAAATATATTTGATTGATTTAAAGTGATTGATTTATTAAAATGATTGATCAATTATTGATTGTACATTTGAGTCATGAAAGGAAAAAAAGGTATTTTGAAAACGATTAGTTCTAGCCACAATTATATGATGTTAAATTATCCCCAGAATGGTCAATCGTCCATGTGATTCATATACCTAGTGGGAGGGGGGGGGGGGGGGGGGGGGGGGGGCGG